TAAAATGACCAAGAGGAAAGAAAAAGAGCTTGCAAGTGATGATTCGACTCTATTTTCAAGACAAAGCAAAGGTAGCTATTCTCACTAATGTGATAATTCAAAAAAATATATGAGGAATTGCTATATTTGTGGAAAACTAGATCATTTTACTAGAAATTACTACAAGGCCAAGAAAGGAGATAGAGAGAATGCAAATAATGCTAGTGATAGTTTTAGTGGAGATGACTATGCTTTCATAGCAAGGGAAGGAGCCTCTATGGCTACTATTTCAAAGTGGATTATAGATTGAGGTGCTACTAAGCACATGACACTATAGAAGCATTCATTTAATACTTATGAAGAAATTTGAGCAACAAAAGTGTGGTTGGATGACAATGGTATGGTGCAAGCCATTGGAATTGGCTCCATTGTAGTGGAGATTGTTGTGAAGGACCAAATCAAGAGGATCACATTGAAGGAAGTTTTATATGTTCCAAAAATAAAGAAGAATCTCCTTTCGGTAAGCAAACTTGTATCATATGGTTATAAGATTCAATTTGATATGAATGGATATTTTGTCAAGACATTGGATGGCCAACATGTTGCCGAAGGCCTTAGAAATGGAAATCTCTACTTCATCAATTGCAAGAAGGTGAATGGAGTTGAAGTAGCGACATTTGCTGATTTTCCTCAAGATCAAGTCAAGTTTGAAATTTGGCATCAACAACTTGGTCATTTGAATGCCAAATGCATGAAGGAGCTCTAATCCATGGTAAGTGGCTTGGATCTTGGTCAATTCAGCCACAATGCCATGACACTTGCTTGTGAAGGATGTATATAAGGCAAACAACAAATGGCTTCATTTTCAAGTGGAATTGCAACACGTGCAACAAAATCGTTGGAGATCGTGCACTCTGCTATTTGTGGACCAATGAAGACACCATCAATTGGAGGAGCAAGGTACTTTCTCACATTCATAGATGAATTTTCAAGAAAGGTGTGGATTTACATCATTAAAGTTAAAAGAGAATGTTTCTCAAGGTTTAAGGAGTTTAAGGCTTTTGTAGAGAAATAATGTGAGTGCAAGATCAAAGTATTGAGAATGGACAATGGAGGTGAATACATGTCAAAGCATTTTGATGAATTTATAAAGATTCAAGGTATTGCAAGACAAACCTCAACTCCTTATACTCCACAATAAAATGGAGTTGATGAAAGAGAAAATCGGACGATTGCCGAGATGGCAAGGAGTATGCTTCATATATAAAACCTTGGGCATGAGTATTGAGTAAAAGCTATGGTAAATACAGTATACACAAAGAATAGGTGCCCTACAAGTGCACTTATATCAATGACTCCACAAGAAGCTTGAAGTGGGAAGAAACCTTATATTTTACACATGAGGATTTTTGGATGCATTGCTTATGGAAAGGTACCAGATTGTATGAGGTCCAAACTTGATGCAAAAGGTACAAAATGTGTATTTGTTGGATATTGTAAAGGTACCAAAGCATATAGGCTAATGTGTTTAAAAACCAAGAAGATCATCAAAAGTCATGATGTAGAATTTTTGGAGCATAAGAGTGCTTTTGAGCACTTAGAAGAGTGTCTAAGTAGGAGTGAAGGTGTATTTGTGGACACATCTTCAAGTTCAACAAAGAAAGAAGAAGAAGAAGATGATGATGACAATGAGGATGAAAGAAATAGAAGTCAAGATCAAAAGCCAAAGAAGATAAATCATAGTGTGCCTTCAATTACTAGAACCAACAATGAAGACAATGAAGATATTGAAGGTGATGATGATGATGAAGAATATCAACCTTTGAGTGAAAAAAGACAAGAATTGAGGAAGAAGAAGGATGGAATGCAAGAAGAAGGGTCCTCTTCAAATGAAAGGAGATATCCTTTGAGAGAAAGAAAACCACGTGGTGAATGGTGGAAGGATCACATCTTTCCTCAAGTAAGTGAAGAACATGCCAATGTTGCACTTCTTACTGATCCATTGAATTTATGTGATGCAATGAAGTCCACGGATGTCTTGAAGTGGGAGAATGCTATGGAAGAAGAGTACAAATCACTCATGGACAATGGAACATGGAAATTGACTCAACTTCCACCAAATCAATCTTTAATTGATTGTAAGTGGGTGTTTAAAACCAAAACGGATGCAATGGATAATATTGTGAGCTGCAAGTCTAAATTGGTTACTAAAGGCTACTCATAAGTTGCTGGTGTGGATTTCAATGAGACATTTGTTCCCATGGTCAAATTCACCACCACTAGAATCATTGTGGCAATTGGAGTAGTATTGGACTTGGAGATGCATCAAATGGATATGAAAACGGCTTTCTTGAATGGAAGTTTGGAAGAAGATATCTACATGGAGCAACTTCAAGGATTTGTTGAAGAAGGCAAACAACACCTTATTTGTAAATTGAAGAAATCCTTGTATGGGCTAAAGCAATCACCAAAGGCATGGTACCAACGCATTGATACATTCTTTGTGAGTGAAGGATTTGTGAGAAGTGAGGTTGATCATTCCTTATATGTGATGCAATCAAATAGGTTCATATTGATTGTCATCGTCTATATTGATGATTTGATCATCTTAACCAATACATTCAAGATGATAGATTGGTTGAAGGCAAAGTTAGAAAAGGAGTACGAAATGAGTGATTTGGGAGAACTTCACTATTATTTAGGAATGGAGTTTGTAAGAGATCATGCTAAAAAGACTATTACAATGAGCTAAAGCAAGTATATTGAAGAGGTTTTAAAACGATTCAACATGGAGGAGTGTAAGCCTATTGGAACACCATTGGAGGCAAAATTGAAGTTGATGAAGCTCATGGATGAAGAGTTTGCTGAAGTTGAAGATCAAATGCAAGGTATTCCATACAATGTAGTAGTGGACTCACTTATGTATGCAATGGTTGGCAAAAGGGTGGATCTTACATATGCGGTGAGTGTTATGAGCCAACACATATCAAAGGCTGGACCAATACATTAGGCAACCATCAAAAGGATCATGAGGTACTTAAAAGGCACTTTGAACTTCAAATTATGCCTTGGAGGTGATAACATTAGTTTCCATGGTTATTGTGATGCGAATTAGGCTGGAGATGCAAATGATAGAAGGTCAACGATGGGGTATGTATTCTTTGTTGGAGTGGGAGAAATTTTATGGAATTACAAGAGATAACCAACAATTGCAAGGTCAACAATGGAGGCGAAGTACATAGCAGCAAGCCATGGTGCAATGGAGGCAATATGGTTGAGACAACTTTTGGATGACATTGAAGATGTACAAATGGAAGCAACTCCAATGGAGTGTGACAATCAAGGATGTCTTACATTTGCAAAGAATCCAAAGCATCATTCAAGGACCAAGCACATTGACATTCAACATCACTTTATAAGAGAGAAGATTGATATGAAGTATTGTGCAATAGAAGAAATGCTTGTTGATTTGTTGACAAAGGCATTAGTAAAAGATAGACACCACATGTTGACAGAGACATTAGGATTAAAAGCCATTTGATCAATAGCAAACTGGGAGTATTAAAGTAAAAGTAAAATAAGTTACCTTAAAGATGATATTAACTTAGGTAAGTTACTAGTGGTCAAAGGTTTGACTCTTGGTATATGGTAATAGCATCCAATGGATATAGGACGAAGTCATGGACCAAGAGTCAAAGTCAAAAGAATAAAGTATTAACAAGGGAATATTCAAAGACTAAGTATGAGTCATTAGTATGTGTCATAAGATACCCTTAAGGCTCGTGAGATGTCAAAAGGATCTTAGGACCATGTGTGTAAAAGTCAAAGAGTGGAAGTTATTTTTTAGGGTAGCAACCACTACCTATGAGCAATGGATATTGGAAGTAAGAAACATCTTATTCCATACTATCTTTGTGTGCAACCTTGCTGATGCTAAGTATTGTGTCTTCAAAGTGCTTGTTCTTCAATAATAATATCTTTTGTTGAAGCTTTTTGGAAACTTCATAGATTTTGATTTGATTTTATACATGTTTATAATTGATTGTTAGGTTAAAAATTTCACCAATAAATTAGCCACATGTTTCATATATAAGAAACTTGTCTATAAATTAGACACATGTTTTGTAAGTTGGAGACATGTGAGAGATCTTATAGAATGATGCCACATAGCTTCTAATTATATATAATATATATAGAAGCAACAATAAGGTTTTTTTTTACTCCTATCAAATTTAATTTTATCTCTAATCATGTTTCAAAAGACTTTAGTTTTCTTGTCTTTGATAATAGCCATTAAAGTTTAATGTTATATCATCTTGAAGTAATTATCTATTCTTTTCAATTCACACAAGAAAGTATTGACTATTTGGTTCTTTGAAATTCATGACCTTAATAATCAGGAATGTATTGACCTTTTAGATCTTTAAAATTCATGTCCTTGATACTATATTTGATTCAATATAACTCATTAAATTTTGATGGATAGTTCATTACATGAAGCATACAAAGTAACTACTGTAATTTTCATCCTAGTTGCATTGCATGGCATATGTCTCAATAATTGATTGAACATTGAAAAATAATTTATACATTTTTATAGCTTTTTCACTAGAACTGAAAAGCACCTTAATAATGAGTTCAGACTGTCAAACAAATACTGGGGGAATTAAATACATCACAAAAATTAACAAGAGAGGAAGTTGAGTAATACAAAGTAGTTGCCATGTAAGTATGTACTTGGAGGAGGTAGTATTGCTACGATAGTGGAGGAGGACTTGATCGACATCGGAATACGTATTCATGGCATGCATTGCATCGAAACAGCGCCCAAGGGTGCGGGGGTGGATGAGAAGAGGGGGAGGGAGGGAGGACGGCATCCATCCAGAAGGGGGCCGGGCGGAGGAGCGGTTATCCGGGTGGGGAGGGGGGGGGGGGTTGTGTGGCCAATGGGGAGGGAAGGAGACAATTGTGAGGGGATAAGGTGCGCCTCGAGCTCGCCACACTCCCACCACCATAATCACGCCATCCCCCCTCTTCGCCCTCTGCTGCGCACCCAAGCCCCAAGCTCCCAGTCCACCCCCCCCTACCTGCATTCCACTCCCCCTCCATTCTTCACTTCTACCCACTCCGCTCTCCCTTCCTCCCTCCTTCTGCCCCTCCTGTGCATCTGATTGCTTCGCTTCGCAATTGCCAACATGGCGACCGCTGCCTCCAGTCTTGTAGGCGTTGTGCCCAGCGCTGCTGTCATCAGAGCCGGCAGCTCCTCTCTCTTCTCGACGAGAGTGCAATGTAGGCCGGTGGCTATGGGATTCGAGCGGAATGCTGGAAGGATGGTGGTGCGGGCTGAAGATGCCGCCGCCGCACCCACTCCAGCTCCTCCCGTCGAGAAGGAAGTGAAGCCTGTCATCGGTCCCAAGAGGGGCAGCATTGTTAAAGTCTTAAGGCGCGAATCGTACTGGTTCAATGACACCGGCAAGGTTGTGGCCGTCGATCAGGTGATCTTTCAAACTTCTTCTCACTTCGCATTTTTAATATTTCTAGATTTGATGCCTTTCGTTAAACCAGGGTTATGGAATATCAAGGCCCCCGAGAACCCTTGTCCTGCGTATCATTAAGTTGGCTGACCTGGTAGATCAATGTTTGCCGATGACTTCAGAGAACCTATTTATAGAAGCCTCAGTAATTTGAACTTCTCCTGTCTCGCTCAAGGTTCTTAATTCTCAGGGAACTTGTCATGCATCTTGTCTGCAACTATCGTTCTTTGTAGCTTTCACATCCAGAGCTAATTTCTCAGCTTTTCACCTGTGAGTAATTTTATGACAAGTCGAAGTCGACGATTTCCCTCAATTTACGTCCATTTTCTATCTGCAGGCACCAGGAGTTAGGTACCCTGTGGTGGTGAGGTTCGATAAGGTTAACTACGCGGGAGTGTCAACCAACAATTACTCCCCTGACGAGCTCGAAGCGGCTGAGTAAGGCAGTTTAGCCTCTCTTGCTGGAACTCATTATCTGTATTCGCTGACAATTTATCTGTAAAGGTTGCTAGTTACCGCATCGACAGAATCAATGGGATGTTTAACATTGTCGGAGACGCAACCAGCAGATAGAACAGGGGGTGTGGTGGATGTATGTCGGGGTAACTTGCGTAGGTTGTGTGTGACGATCATTTCAGTGTGGTGCGTGCATAGTATTTACGTAGAATGATGATATGAGTTGCGGATTAAAATTTTGTAACGTTTTTTGACTGAATCGATCTATGGGCGGTGAAGCCCCGAATTTTATCAATCTGTTCTTCCGAACCTGATTCAAATTCCTTTATTTTGATAAAACTACTTCCTGAATCCTGTTTTCTTTTCATTTTTTATCTTTTTTTTGAACTTCACACCATACACAACTATATCTCATCAAAATTGAAACCCATATTGTCTTATCCACGTCTGCGCAGTGTCTACATATATGTACGTTTATAACCATCCTTGTTTCATTCGCAATCAACTATCTCCTTGTCCTTTCATAAAATAAATGTTAATCGTCGCTGTAAACAACCACTCTTAATAACTGTATTATCCTAACTCAATCCTCTGCACACACTTTCCGTTTTGTAACAATCATGATAACGGCTATTTCTTTTCTATTTACTCCCCATACCATTCTTAAACTCGCATTTAACAAATTTGTACATCCGTCCATTATAACCAAATCAATCAGTTGTCCTCATTATATTGCATATGTTTATTTCACAAAGACAACCACCATCTGTACGTACCAAAAATCAAGCTATAATAACGTGCTATGTCCACCATAATAATCATCGAAGCCACACAGTAACAATGCTAGAAAATGGGTGGCAAGCGCAGATAACTAAAATCTCTACTTCAATTCAAAACCTTTCCAGCCCCTCTCAATGTCGGTGAAAATCTTGATTCTCGGAAAAAAACCGTTGCTAGTGGCAAACTCTACACTCGGAAAAACATGCTTTTCACATGCATGTCAAAATTGGGTGAAAAGTGTGACAGAGCAAAGGGGCGTTCTATCCGAGCCCAACGATCATGCACACCCATGCTTCCGCTTTACACCTTCAGAACGAACTTGCACCCTGTAGTTTTCGTCATCGCTCTCTGAGTCAATAATGATAATAGGCTCGTTCGATACTTTTGTCACTTCCCTAGGCTGATCAGAGCTCTGCAGAATACCTCCAGATTGAGTGCTAACTTGATCATTTTGTGAAGCCATTGATACAGGGCGAGACAATTTCAGTAGCTTCGTCTTTGGAAGCATCAACCTCTTTCCCGTGTCTGTCACAACCAGGTAGACAATTTCAGGTACCAACAGACAGGAACTAGCAATAATTAAGTCAGGTGACCAAGCAGACCAACATGATTCAACAGTCACCCTCTAACATGCATTTGTGCTGCTACTTCCTTCAAGCTAAATTCCAAACCATGTAGTCAAGTTCTAAGAGCAGACTATGTAGCCTTGTGTACGAACTTCAAGGACGGACGATTATGGCAACGGAAAGGAAACGCCGAGGGAACAGAACACCTGCTATGGATGTTCTTTGACTACTTTGAGAAACGGAAATCTCTGCATTAGCTTGATTGTCCTTTGTGACGCTACAGCTTGCAATATCCTTTCTCGTGTAGTCCGCAGCTTTAGTATCTAACCGAACTCCGTCTGTTTCCATCAAAGCATTGATTGTCGGAACACCCTCAAGTTTGCGAATGTCCACTTTGCTAACACTTCCTCCATTCAGTTCTGCAGAAAATGGCTGTCAATCTGAGTGAAAAGACATCTACCTTCTGCATACACGTCGTTCCAAAGGAGTCTCTACGTGATGCACATTCTGCATGACTTCGTGCTTAATTCCAGACGCGGCATCTAACAACGAACAAAAGTAACAGTAAGCAGATTTCGCCCTGGTTTCGACCTGGTTATGAGATTTCGACCTGCTTGTGAGACATCTTTTCCAACTGGATCACACTTCGTGTCCGTTTCACGGACTTTGTCTTTCTCAGAGATGAAGCTCGATGAATTTATGGGTTCAGCCTCACGAGCTCCCCCAATACCACACAGACGTGACCCCTGCGTAGTGCATCCCTTTGCCAGGGAAAGTTTAGCAGCGAAGTTCTGACGTGGCTTGACTTGAGTAATATTGGCAGTAGCCTCCCCAGATGCCCTTGTACTTGGTTCGTCGAGTGTTACTTTGGAAGCCCCGATACTGTCGACCCCATTCAGAACTGGTCTTGCAAGACCATCTTGGCTTACTGCCTCAGAACTCTATAGCCAAGGAGAACAAAATGAGAGATAATTAAACAACTGGATCACGGAACCCCAAGAAAGCATCAGATACATCCTCTGAGAGGCTGCTACAAATTTACTTTGGCAGATCGGGCTTCAATCCAACATTCAAACACACTGTCTATTCGGACATATTTTCAAAGTTGGCGAGTGGGCTCGTAGTAGGCTGCATTGAAGGCGAATAAGTGAAGCAAAATCCACAAAATCCCACATAATTAGGTGTATCACTCACCCGTGCGTTAAAAAGGTTGGTTGAGGTGAAATTACCTGGCCCTGATGGGTGTCACGACACGATACGACATTCCTTTCTGTTGAATTTTGTACAGCATAGCGCTCAGTGCATCGTCTAGCCTTGTCATCAAAAAGGGCTCGATTGTGTTTGTATTCTGCAGACTGTTCGTCAATTATTACAACAGCCAAAATTAGCACATCTCCACAAATTATGTTCATGCAAGGAACTTCCGAATCTGGTGTAACCATTCTGAGAAATCTAGTGACTCACGATGTCGCTCATCAGGCCATCGTCATGATTTGGTTCCTCAAGAAGTACACGAATGCTTGCCAGAACTGCTCCGATATTGAGTGATGGCCTCCACTGCCCCTGTGGTTTTCATGTAATTTGTTTTAAGCATCAAGAGGGCATTGTAAGATTAAAACATACCAATGAAATTCCTGAAGGCTAAAAAACTGCTTGTTGTACAATCATTCGTGAAATTTTAGACCTATATGCAGATGAGTTCTGCCCCGAAAGACCCACTGGCCATTACATGTGGTCAACTGCAAGGACGCCACGCAAGTGTCAAAAACTCCTCAAAAAACACAAAACAATAGAAGGTGCAGGAAAATACCTTGGGAGGCATGTTCAAAATGTCATGGCAAATGCGACCGCCACTGTCAATATTTGGATGGTACACAGGAGTGATAAACTTCACGTTCGGTGGCTCGAACGGATACCTGAATGACAACGGAAAGGACCTGCCTGTAAGCGCAAAATTGTCACTCCTGTAACCTGTCAAATTTGATAACGAAAATTGAAGGACAAAATTGTGCCAGCTGCTGCTGAAAACAATGCTAGGTACGCAAAGCTTGATGTAACCAGTCAGAAATCGTTGCATTAAAAACCTCTCGAAAAGCACGACGAGAACGATTTAGATGCATAACACGCCAATAAGTAGCCGGGACCTGGAGCAGACTAAGAAGAAAACATAGGAAAAAAAAAAAATCAAATCAAATCAAATCAAGAATTAGAGCAAGAACGGCCCTAACCTATCTGGAATCTCGACCTCGAGCTTAAATATGCCCTTGGCGTACACAGTTCCATCCGGCCCCTGTATCTCTGCACAGGGAAAATCAAAAGGAGAATGCTCGCATGATTTTGCATGCTGGCGCCACAACTAAAACGCGCAGTGGTGGGAACAATTGAAATTGAAAACGATCCGAAATTGAAAACAACCAGACATGAAATTGCTTACGGGCTTCAAGGAGCGCCAGATTACGCTCGTCAACTGGCCAGACGCAAATTCCAGGAGGAGGGTCTTGCAACATCTTTAGCTCCTTCTGCAGCCTACCCGCAAGCCGAGCATCGTGCATGATCGCTACCAAAAAGATCGAACACAGATAAAAACCCCGTGATCCTCCCTGGAAAGCTGAAATTCTGAGGGAGCAAAGAAGAAATGGGAAGAGAATAAACTCCGCAGCACCACGAGTAAACCCCGGCGAAATCCTACGCACCGACTCAATCCGAGTTCGAAGCGACAGAAGCGAGGTGGCCTTCAAAGCGTAGAAATGCACATAACGGAGGCGTTGGTGGTGCTGTCAATGCTGGCATTCAAACTTCTCCCTCCAGGGCTGTGCCCCCGCCCTCCCTCCTCTGTGGGAATCCCCATTTGCCACACAGGATGAGCTCCCTTCCAATCCATGCTCAAGGGTAGATGAATGGGTGGGTGGATGCATGGGTGTGTGGATGAATGCGTGGTGGATGCATATGTGGGTGCCAATCTGACTGACAGAAGAGAATCGTGTCTGGGAGGAAGCTATAAAGATAGCGACGGCGGGAGAATCGGCTTTGGCATTCAAAACATTCCACACATCCCAACCCCCGTCCCCTCGTCGACATTTTCTACAACATGTTGACATGTTGTTAATAAACCTCACAATGTAAAAAAATTGGCTACAATACTTGTAGCATTAGTCTATTTCTCTAATTTCTATTTTTATAGTTGTTTAAGTCTTTGCGAAATAATCCTCCTGCATTATGCATTATTTAGTGTACCAATTGATCAATACCAAATACACAACCCTCATGGTTCTCTATATAAGTGGATGCCCGATATATAAACAACATTCATATGTGTTGATTTTCTATGGAAACTATTTCATTGGAAAGATTAAGAGCTTGGCTACTCACCTCGGAATTCAAAATCTGTATAGTAAGTAAAAATCAATATTTCCACTGCAAGACATGAGATTATCATACATAATTTTTCCCATATTTAGAAAACTGTTGCCCATTTAGTTGTTAATATTTGATATGTTTTACCATAAAAAAATCTAATCATCCTTCTGGGAAAAGAATTAGATTATTGTAATGGGTTGTCGTGGAAAAAAAAAATTATTCGATGTTTATTTATTTTTAATCTAATAATTATGAGTACATTATTACATGCGTAAGTCTTTCAACACATCGCTTATGCCATTGATCCTCCATTACCAAACATGCGATAGATTATCTCACTAATTTATGTTACAGAGCAGCATCTAGCGATGAAAGCATTTCAAGTCATGTGGGTCCCAGTGGGGCAAGTCATGAAAAAACAAACCAATGCCATCAGAAGAGTTCGAACTGCCAAGAGGACAGAGCTCGGGAGGCGAGAGGGCTGGGCCTAGCAGACACAGGCACAAACACAAAGCTATAGAGAAAGAGAAAGGAAGGAAGGCGGGGACGAAGGAAGGGTTCGTGAAAGGAAGGGCGTGGGGATGCGCAGGGATGGAAAAACCAAGCGACACCTTCCACTGTCCACGTAGGCCCTACGCCAACGGGGCAACATTTCATCCGACCTGGACACCAATTTCAACACCCCAACGGGACAGTCGCTGTGGGGAATCAAGAACAACTGCGATGGAGGACGAGTGGGCTCGCGAGACACGGACTTGGCTTCCTTCCTTCATTCCTTGCCTCCCCTCCCCCTTCCCTTCATCGCCTTTGGTTTCTCATGACTGGATCATACAGACCTTGCGATGCTTTCAAACCCTAGCCAAACCCCACCACCATCGCCATCTCTCCCTCTCAACAAATCTGCCATTGACGTCGCCCGCGCCTTGCTGCTGCTTCTTCCGCCCTTGTACCAGCGCATTTCTAACGCCCGCTATCCCAGCTTTCTGTCGCCACCAAATTTCGCCACGCTCGCCAGCTCCACCATTACCACCGAGTGCATCCATTCGCCTCTTCCAGGTACGTAATCCCCCCCCCCCTGCGGTCGCGCTCTAGGGTTCTGAGCTTCCGCTTTCGTGGTGGCCATGCTGGGATGGCGCTGGCCGTCGCTGGTCCAGCTCCTGATCGTCAATTTGCGATCCGATTAGCGGGCGACGCGCTGATTCCGTCCACCGAGAGGGCTGGTCGCAGTGGTCCGGTTACCCTCCTGGTGGCGTGTGCGCTGCGGAAGTCCTGTGGAAAACGCTGCGAGGCAGCGCGATGAGATGTTCTTGTCGAGCTAGCATGTCAGGTTGATGGTAGACCATGGAAATCACTTGCTGACCGGATTCCTAAGGAACTGGCGATGGTCTTGGTATTGTTCTGGACAACGATTGCATAGTGGCGGGGTTTTAAACATCGCCGGCCTTATGGTGCATGGTAGGAGAGGTCGTAGGGCTGGATTGACGACATTCATGGCATCTGGGCATGAATTGGCTGTGTCGATTTTTGGAGTAGGAGATGCCGGGTGGTTCTGTGATGGACGAGGAGGGGCGATGGCGATCGAATTTTGCGGTTTAGGAGCGAGGGCGTTGGGCGTAGTGTGCATGCTGAGTGCCCTCGCCCCCGTTGCGTGTAACCTAATCTGATGTGGAGGGCGTGTCGGGGTGGTGTGCAGAGAATTGAGTCGTGGGGGATGGAAGGCGATGCGGAATGGTTCTTCTGCACACCTTAGATTGGAGGACAATCGGGGCGTGGCAAGCGTGATGAATGAGGGGATTCCAGCACGTAATGTGTGTCCGAGGTGGCGGAGTTAGAAGGTGCGTCCCGGGTAGGGCTGGGAGCATGTGACATGGTTTGGAGGATCGAGCTGAAGGAGATGAGCTAGGGAAGTCGGTGGCACCGCTGTGGTGCCGTGTCGGAACGATGGCATCCATGCAGAGGCTGGATACTGTGAATTTGAGCAGTCCCGACGGGGGCCCGCACGGTGTGGGCGGAGGTGCACACCGGGGTTTCGGTGCGAGCTTGGACAAGTCTCATAGTTTTCGGGATGGTCACGAAGGTCGGGCATCGGGCGGAGGCGGGCCATCGAGTTCGCACGGCGAGGCTCCGGCTCTGGCGAGCGTCCTGTTTCTGGAGAGCATAAGCTTGCCGAGTGTGAAGTCGAATGCGCAAACGGAGCTGCGACGGGCGATGAACGCTGCGAGCAGTCAACAGGGCGATGACCCGAGTCTGGGAGGGTTGCAGTCGAAGGCTCTGGAGAGCTGCAGCGGGGAAGAGATCAAGCGGATGAGGGTCGGGCTGACGGAGGGGGCGTCGCGGGCGAGGTAAGTGGCGGGACGTTTGGTGGTTGGGGGTGCGTGGAGAGGTGGGGAGTGGGAGGGGTGAGTGACGAGGGAGCGTGGTTGTGTTGGGGGTGGGGTATTGGTAGCAACAGGGGTAGCATGTGTGGTAAGTGGGAGCATGCGGTGGAAGGGGTGTTGTAGGTGAGGACTTTGTAGGTGTATTGCCGGCAGCGTTTTGAACGTCCGTGGTGGTGTGAACTGGCAGAGAGCGAATGCGGCACCTGTCGGAGGCGGTGATCAAGCTGGATAGGTTCCTGTATGCAATGCAGTCTCGGAAGAGAAGCAGACCGGAGTCTGGTGGACATGACAAGGGGGGACATGCGGGTGGAGGTCAGAGAGGTGCTTCGTCTGGGCATGTGGCGAAAGGAGGTGGTCGAAGCGCTTCTAGCAGCGGTGAGATATCGAGAATGGTGAAGGGAGGAGGGGAGAAGAGTAAGAGCGGGATGATCAACAAGCGAATGCGGACTTCGTTGGCAGACGCACGGGTATGGTGAAAAGACCGCGCGTTGTGGGTTGCGGTTGTGGAACGGGGTTGATGGAGTGTTGGGCGTGCAAGCGCATTGTGATGTTTTTAGGACGTTGGGTCATAGAAAGTAGGGAGTCCTCGAGGTGGACGGTGTGGGTGGTAGTGAGGGACCATGATTGCTTCTTGGATCACATGCGAAGTCACATGTGACTCTGGGGGGGAGGGGGGGGGGCTCGGTGTGGGGCGCCGGCTCTGCGTACTCATTGACTTGTGGGTTGGAGGAATTGGAGTATGGAGGAGGTGTGGACGCGGGAACGTTTGAAACCGGCGTAATGGGTGAGGTTTGAAGGGGAGGCATTGAGAGAACCGCACGTGAATGTGGTGTGGTGTGATGCCGTATGCAGGGGGCGGTTGGGTGGGCGAGTGTCGTGAGCGTGCGTGCGTGTGGTGGTGTTCCTTACGGTGTGGTGTGGTGTGAGGGTTGTGATGCAGCCTGAGGGGCGACCGAGCAATCTGAGCGTGCAGCGGTCTTCCGGGGTGCAAGAAAGAGAGCGGGGGAGCCCGAGGCCGAGCAGCTTTTTGAGCTCTCCGGTGGAAGAGAAGGAGAGAGTGGGTGGAGGAGGTGGCGGGAGCTACGAGAAGACGAAGATGAAAGGACGACGGTCGGCCACCATAAAGGCGGAGGCAGCGGTGGTGAGCGTGGCGAACGGTGGCACGGACGTGGAGCGGGAGCAGAAGGGGAGCGTTCAACATCACAGAGGCGGTGTGGACGGACGGGCGCGTCCGAGCGAGGGCCATGGCTACAGGTAGGTGGTGTTGCGTTGGAGGGAAATGCGTGTGGTGATGAATGGGAAGGGTGCGTGCAAGCGGTGGAAGGGTATGTTGGTGGCGTGAAGCACCGAGGAGCGGGAATGTGGGTGGGCGAAGAGGATGGTGCGTGGTGCGGTGAGAGTGTGTAGTTGTGGGGATGGTGTGCGGAGAAGTGTCGGACGGGGTGGATGAGGGAGCGTGGTGCTTGCATGTTGTGGCGAAAGGTGAAGGAGGGGTTGCGGGACATGGGTTGGAAGATGCGTGGATTGTTGGGATGGTTGTGGAGGGGAGGCCTGGTAGACGTTCACGTGGGTGACGGGGAGGTGGGGTTGGTGTGTGCGTTGGGCAGGTCGGCACCGTCGGGACCCGTGCACGGCACATTGTCTGTGCAGAAAGCGGAAGCGATCGTGCATGCGAACGGGGGAGGGATGCGAGGTGGTGGGAAGGGGGAGGCGGATGGATCAGTGCATGGCGCGGGGAGAGTGGAGCGGTCGATTGTGGCGGAGCGGGAGCGTGCGAACGTGAAGGGCGGAGCCACGTACGTGATGTGCAGTGGGGGTTGGTCGTGGAGGGAGTGTGTGTGGAATTGGGAGGGGTGTAGGAAGGAGTGGCGTGAGTTGCGAATTGTGGGGATGGTAGTGCGGCGGGTGGGTAGTGCGAGGTTTGGATGCGATGCGAGCGGTTGTTTGGTGGAGCGGATGGTTGAATGCGATTGGGACGTGGTGTGGCAGGGCGGTGGGTCGGGAGGAAGCGCGCGTTGCAGGTCCGGGCATGATGCCGAAGGCGAAACGGTCGAATCTGGTATCGGGGAGCAACCAGTCCGGGCACGCGAGCCGGGCGTCATCGTTTGCAGATGTTCGGGAGAAGCCGGCGGCGTTGGCGAATCCAGCGAAGGAGCAGGCGGCGTCGGGCCCCGTGAACCGGAAGAGGCCAGCGCCGTCGCGGTCGTCGTCGCCGCCGGTGGCGTCGTGGGGGAGCTCTCGACCTCAGACGATGGCACGGGCAAGGCGAGTGAACCTGAATCCGCCCGTGAGCATCTCCGTTCCAGAGAAGGAGGAGGAGAACGGGGGCGTGGATGCGGGCGGAGGGGCGAGGGATGGGGGCGTCTCGAGTGGGACTCCAGGCGCGAGGTCGACCTCCTCGGGCGCAGGCGGGGTATTGAGCTTGACGAAGCGAGCAGTGGGTGGGCAGTTGGTCGGTCCGAGCAAGGCACAGGCCGAGCGGGGGCCGGTTTCGTTGGGTTCGGAGGAGTCGGTGGAGGAGGTGGCGAAGAGCAGGGAGAGGAGTCGGAAGGGAGAAGAGGAGGATGGGGAGCGGAAAGGGAGCGGGGGGAGGGAAAAGTCGGGGAGCGTGGTGGCGACGATGAAGAAGGAGGCGGCGTTAGCAGCGGAGGAGAGCGGAGGCGGGGACGGGGTGAGACGGCAAGGTCGAACAGGGAGGGGGAGCGTGGCGCCGCGGGTGGCGGCGGCGAGCACTCCGGTGGAGAAGGTGGAGGTGTCGGCAGGGAATGCAAAGCCGATGAGGAGTGGAAGGGCTGCGGTGGAGACGAAGCTGGGCGGGTACGTGCGCGGGTTGTGGGAGGCGGTACGGTGGGTTTGTCTGGGCATGTGCGTGGGAGTTGGATGGGTGGGAGTAGAATGTGGGGATGGTGGTGCGGTTGATGAGTGGAGGCAGGATGTGTGGTGGGGTGCAGTGAGGGGGGATGGGGTTGAGGCGTGGGTGGATCCGGGGCATTGATTGGTTTGTGGAGGCGTGATGGAAGAATGGGTGGGTTGGTGTTTGCAGGGGCGGGCGTCCAGGCACGAAGAAGGGCAGTGGTGATCGGAAAGCTTCCAGCAGGCCTCGGCGGGTACTTGGGAACAGCGGAGGCGAGATGACAGGTGTGGTGTGAAGGTTGTGTGGAATGGGTAGTTGTGGTTGTGAGGTGATTGGAGTGGGTGTGCAATGCGAGGGGTGTGCTGAGTTGCGTGTATGTTGTTGAGCAGAGGAGGAGGATGACCACGAGCAGCTGTCGAGAGCGGTTCAGCAAGCTGTGGAGCTGAGTGGTAAGAGTTTGTTTGGGCGGAAGGCGTGGTAGTTATGGCGTGGCATGGAGGGTCGGGGTGAGGGGTGGTTGGAGTGGTGGATCAAGCGAGGGGGGCGGGTGATAGGAAGGGATGGCGGGGTGATTTATTGTCGTGGGGGCGTGCGGGAGTGGGTGGTTGCTGTCGTGGCTTGCGGGATGTTGGCATCCTTGCACTTGAAGCGGGGGTTGGTGATGTTTGATATGGAGGATCGTGCTGGGACGCCATGGTTGTCGCTCATGTTGTTGGTGTGTATTTGCAGCATCAGCGTGCCCGAACAGTTTTTGGAGAGAAGTAGAGCCGTACTTCGCTTATGTTACTTCGGACGACCTATCTTTTCTGCAGAGACGGGTGAGTGGTGAAGCGATTGTGTGGGTATGTATGTGCTGGTCACTGGTGGTGGTGGTGATGTGAAGGCGGCATGTTGAGGTTGTGGGCGTGAGGCAGGAGTGCGGTGAGAAGTGCATGTTTGGTTGGAGGTGGGGTCGAGGGTGGGATGTAGAGCGGAAGAGATGTGACGGTTTGTTGCGTGGGGAGGGGTAGTGCAGTTGGAGAGGGATCGGGCGTGAATGGTGTGTTGTGGCGGGGGGAGGAGGTGATGTAGGTGTGCGCGAAGAGAGTGGTGCACGGGCGACTTGAGTGTTGAGCACATGTTGTGGGAGTGTGTAGATTGCCATGGCGGGTGAATGCAACAGCAGTTGGCAAGGTCAGAGCTTGGACGCATTGGTGGAAGCAGCAGGGGGTGGTGACAGGGGGCTGGGCGGCGGCGATGCGAAGGAGGCGAAGCAGTCGAAAGAGCAGGGGGCGGAGGAGAGGAAGTTGAGGAGGGGGAGGGGCGGGGGGTGGTATGACAAAGTTTTCCCGCTATCACAGCGGCTGCTGTCTGCGTTGATCTGCGAGAGGGAGGACGGCGAGAGCGAGAGGGTAGGTGAGGAGGGCGTGGTAGAGCTGGACTCGGATTCTCCTCGTGCTCCGAGTACGCAGCGCGAGATGGACTGCGAGAGGAGGGATGCAGAGGGCGAGTCGGACGTAGACAACGCGAAAGCTGATTCCGAGTGGTGGAGCGCAGGAGCAAGAGCGGGAGGGTACAGCGAAGGGTCTCCCATGTCTGGTGGGCAAGGGTGTCGGGCGTGGGATGAATATCAAGGTTGGTCACTAGCTTTGGCGGGGATGGGTGTGGTGTATAGCAGTGTGGTGTTGAGTGGCGTGCATGTGAAATGGGGCAGGAATGGGTGCGTGAAAGGGTGTCCGATGCGGTTTGGTAGGCGGGGTCGTGGTGTGGTGGATGCGGGTGGGTATGGTTTGGAAGCGTAGTGACGGTATGTTGGACGTTGGTTTCGTGACAGATGGGGAGGATATCGTTGTCGGGAGCGATGGGCACGGAGCGGCTGGCGCAGATTGGGGCAGCGGCGGGGATGATGAGGACAACGAAGCAGGGTGTGGGAGGCAGGCGGAGAACGGGTGGATGGATTGGGAAGAGCAGTATGGAAGGATGAGCCTGGACGATAGGTTAGCGGTGGAGTTGAGGAGCATCGGGCTGGAACCTGCGCAAGTGGTGAGCGGAGAGCGCAGGATTTGAGATGATGTGGTGTGTTGAGCGGGGCGTGGCGTATAGGAGGGGGTTGGTGAGAGTGCGGGAATCGAGGTGGTGCGAGCAGAGAGCGGTGGTAGTCGGGGAGCGTGGAGGGAGGTTTGTGTTGTTTGGGAGTGCGGGGTGTATGAAGAGGCGGAGGAGGGAGGACTGAGGATCGATGTGGTTGGGTGTGTATGGTGCGTGCAGCAGGCGGAGCAGGAGGAGGCGGAGGAGGACGACATGGGGGATGAGTTGAGGGGGCTGCAGATCGAGCTTGCGGAGCAGGTAAGATGCGTTGGATGTAGAGAGGGAGTGTGAGAAACGGTGAAGAAGTGGGGGATTGGTTTTGTTGGGTGCAGTGGAGGTAAGACAAGCGCGGTTATTTGGTGCGCAGGTTTCGAGGAACAAGGAGCGGTTGTGCAGGCTGGAGAGTGCCGTCATGAGAAGCAGGGCGGGCGAGGAAAGGTAGGGTGGAAGAGACGGTTGTGAAATTGCAGCGACGTGAATTGGTGTTTGGCAAGAGTGGTGGTGGTTTGTGGCATGGATGGCGTTGTTGGGATGAGATGTGTAGTGAGCAGAGCGGTGTGTGAAACATGGGCTAGGAAGGTATTGAAGAGCGGGGGTGGTATGGTTGGACTGTGGTTTTGCAGAGCGCGGGAGAAGCTTGCGATGGACAAACTGGTGGAGTTGGCGTATAGAAAGAAGACGGTACGTGTGTGAAACTCGGTGGTTGAGGTGGTGTAGATGGGAGGTTGTGTAGATGTGAGCGGCGGGGATGGCGTAGAAGTGGAGGTGTAGTGGGTACAGTGGTGGAAGTATGAGGCAAGGGGAATTGGGATTGGGACGATTTGGGACGGCGAGTGGTGTTTGAGAGAGAGGTGGAAAGGCGGGCCGAGACAGGGAAAGAGTTGACGAAGTGGGTGCATTTTGGATTGCAGGGTGGGCGATCCAGTAAGGGAGGCGGTGTGAAAGGAGCAAGAGCGGTCGCACTTGCGTTTGCAAAGCGGGTCCTGACAAGGGTCCACAACTTCGAGGGTGGTGTGAGCTGTATAACGGACCCCGCGTTGCGTGAGCGTCTGTTGTGCGTTGCTCCGAGTGGTGCGGAAGGCACCGTGGACGGAGGCATGGATGCATCGAAAGATGGCGGTGGCGGGGCAGGAAGTGGCGGAAGGATGGCATCACCAAGGGGTGCAGGTTGGTTAGCATGGCGATGTGGTTATGCCGTGGCAGTGCGGGTGGTTGTTTGGTTGGTTTTGTTTTGTTTTATTTTGTTTTGTTTTGGTTTTTTGGTTTTTTGGTTTTTTTTTGTGTGTGTATGTGTTTGTTGTGTGTGGTGAAGAAGTGGGTTTGTACTGGAGTGGAGGGGAATGGTACGGGGCGTTGGCAGTAGGGTGATTGGATGTGCTGGAGGGGATCGCGACGTGCGGTGTTGCACGCGTTGGGCGTGAGTGGGTGGAATGGGTTTGTGGAGGGAGCGTGGTGGTGGATGGTTAGGGCGTGTGGGATGTGGAGTTGAGAGTTGAGCGTTGGGGGATGATTTCTGATGGTAGCGTGCGGTGGGTGACGGGGTGCAGAGGCGGAGAGGGGTTCTTTGGACGGGCAGAGCCATGGCGTGAATTTCTGGCAGCAGAAAGAGGGGGTGTGGACGGGTCGGGCCAGGGAACGTGAGGCGTTTCTGGAAGACGGGTCTGGATACGCATGCACTCGGGACGTGAATACGCTGAGCTTGAATGGGTTGGGGGGGATCAAGGGCAAACGGAGCGAACGGGAGAGGGATGGAAAGGTGAAGGAAGGAGGCGCAGGAGGGAGGTCGGGGCACAGCAATGTGAAGGGGGAGCGGAAGACGAAGACGAAGCCGAGGCAGAAGACGGGACCGCTGTTGAAGTCTGTGCATGGGCTGGTGGCGAAGGCGGCGGAGCAGCAGCCTGGCAAAGGCAGGTTGTTGAACGAGGGCCGCGCGGGGGCAACGGAGAGGCAGGCAATGAGGAGCGAGGAAGTGATGCCGAGTCTGGGAGCGTTGCAGGAAGCGGTGGTGGAGGGCGACGGACAGATCGATCTGTCGGCGATACCTCTGCCCGGAATGGAGGAGATGAGCATGGGTCAAGCAGACATGGGGTCGTGGCTTGACTTCGACTTGGAGGACCCGTTGCAACAGACGGACGACTTCCTGATGGGGTTGGACGTTCCGATGGACGACTTGTCGGGGCTGCAGATGATGATGTGAGGGGCGGGTGGTGGGGCAGTCGGGGTGGGCGATTTGTGATTATGAAGGACATGGTCCTTATTGTACATTGAAAGTTGGCCTCGAGGAGGCCTTGAAACGGGTACGAATCCCCGGATGGTGGGGAAAAGGTATGCTGTTTTGGAAGGCGAGGTTTGAGGTCGAATAAGGGCAGTGGTGGGATGCCACGATGCATGTACGTTTACAGGGTTGAGATTTTAGGAAGTTTTTCAACAGAATTAGGGTCACAGTTGAAGGCGTGCCGTGCAGTCGGCCATGTTAGACAGCAGCTGTGGGACAGTGACCACCGATAGGAGACTACCATCTTGTACCAAAATTTGTTTACGCATTTTAATTCTTTTAGTGGGACTTTTTTTTTTGTTTGGTCGTTCTATCTATCTGCTTCCTGTTGAATGATTTACATCGTTAATATTTCATTTAAAAAATAAAAAATCTTAATTTTACATATCATTTTATACATGAATTTTTAGATAATAGAATATTTTTTCAAATAAAGATTTTCATATCAGAGTATTTAACAAACATATTGATCAAGGTTGTCACCATAACACAACTACATCTGTGCAAAGCCTCACTAGGCCTTTAAAATTTTTGATAAAGTAGTATAGGTCTTGACCTACTTTTAGGTTATAAGACTAAAACAAAATTGCGAGTGAGTTGTTATTTTGTAGATTAGTCTATAAGCAGAACATTGTTATTGTATGGAGCCTATTTCATAGCTGCAACGACTACAAGAAGTCAGGAAAGACAACCTTGCTAGCCAATCAATTGGTAGAGTCAAGAGGTAGTGCTTTTTGCATGGGTTTTTAGGGACAGCCTTGGAAGAAATTTCGATTTCAGTCTTTTGAATGTATTAGTTTTCTTCTCTGAAATTAATGTTATTCCGTTCAAAATCCTATTCTTACAAAATTAAGAGTATCCATCTCTAATTTTTTTTTCTTTTTCCAACTTTTTTTCTTGATGCCTTTTTCATTCTATTATGTAGATGAATTCCTAACAAATAGCCCTCTAAGAAGTTGTTTGGACTTTGAACTAGCAAATAATCAAATCTTTTGACTTATTCTTTTAACTTTATTTTTGTAACCTCAATAGTTATTTTGGATGGAACATTTTAATGATTAATTTAAAAATTAAGTTGAACAAATGCATAAGCTATATTTATTATTAAACATTTTTTCAAAATTATTTAGATTTTTTTTGGCAGTTTTTTCTAAGATCTTATTTATTGTTAATGATGGATTTAAACAAATTTAAAAAATAATTTCTATTTTTTTATTATTAAGGAAAAAAATTCTAAACTTTTAGTTTCTTTCATTGAAATTTATTTGTCTTTGATCTAATTATTACAAAATTCTACAATATTCACATTGTACAATTTAACATTTAATATTATAATACTTTAAAAATATAAAATATTATTTAAATATTTATTTTTATCATTAAATAGATTTTTTTTACTAAAAGATGTTTTTTATTATACATATTTTTTTATAATTTCATATACTCTTCTTCTTTATTGTCCTATTCAATTTAGTTTTTCGATATTTATACTAACATTAAATAAACAGATTTGCTATTGCACGCCTTTGTTTTGATTGTTGAATAAGCACTCCTTGATTTGATTTTGAACCTTAATTTCTAATATTTCTAATTATAAAAAATTATTATTATTTATTTTTCTTTTAATTCTTTTTCATACTCTTGTGTTTATATTAAACAAGATTTATTTAGTTAAAAAATGACCAACAATGGTTTTTAATACAAAATACTAAGATAAATTTCAATAATTATTTAAAATTAAGTTTGTTTATAAAAAAAGTAAACTATATAACTTTATTCTATATATATATATATATATATATATATATATATAAATATAAATTTCGTAAAAATAATACAAAATAAATATGACATAGAATGAAAAAGTCTAAAAGTGACACATGTAAATATTTATTGTATTATTTATAAACTCTGATTTTAAATTAAATATTGCAAGAATTCATACATACAAAGGGCATCATTATTTTACATCCAAATATATATTGCTGAAGACTTTTAAGTGGTGTCACTTTTATACTTGAGATATTTTTGAAAAATAAACCCACTTGACGATAAAAATGACACATACATACATACATACGTACATACATACATTTTAAATTTATTTCTTAAATTCTAAATTACACATAATATCAGATTTACTTAATTTAAATAAAAGTAAAGTTAAAAAATAGCTTTAAATTAGTAATTATATTCTTATAGAATTTTTGTAAAATTTCATGTGAAATAAATTAGAAAATATTATTTAAAACAATATGTAATTTGTATATATTCTGTATCAATTTGAGTATATCAATATTATGAATAGAATATGATATTTTTATTATATGTTCCAAGCTTGTTCAAACTATATATATATATATATATATATATATATATATATGAGAAAGTAGTATTAGAAAATGCATTTTTTTTTATATTAGAAAAAAATAGAATACAAATATTGTCACATTAAGACAATAAAAAATCATGTATAAAAAGTAGCACAAACATTTATTATAGAAAAACAGAAAGTTTACTTTTTATTTTGTTAAAAAATTGAATGTATATCACCAAATTTTTTATTGCTTCTAACAAAATAAGCTATATTTATTTATTTAATTATTTTCTTGTTGTAATACATCCTTTCAAGCATGGTTTGTCTTGTCAACATTGGTGATTACTTTGGTTGTTAGATTATCTTCCAAATCAGCTCAAGTACATTTTGGGACTAGCCTTGAATTTTATTTTTCAATGACATACTTTCCATTTTGCAAAAACACAAAACTATTCTTCAAAATAGCATCCATACCCATCAAATACGTTATTGCTTCTAACCAAAAAAGTTGATTCTTTTGTATTGTATAGTATATTATAAGAAACATGTTTTTTGTTTTGTTTTGTTTTGTTTTGTTTTTTTTCCAATAACACCAATGATCATCTTAGTTGTTAACTCATATTCCAAATTAGCTCAAACACACCTTATAAATGCTTATTTTTTATTTTTATTTTTCTTCTCTATAAGGCTTCTTTTCATTTGATGAATTACAAAATCATCAACAATGTAAGAATTTAAAATAAGAACTTGTATTTGTATTAGCTATTTCACATCCTTGGCATTGTTAAACATTTCCTTATTGACTCTCTCTTTCCATATTAAGAAACTTTGTCTTCTCGCATAGAAAAGAATCTTTTTGATGCATAGATTATTCTTTTCTTTGTGCACACATAACTCCTTCTTTATGATTGCAAAGTCCAAGTTAAGTACATGTATGCTTTAATATAATTCCATAAGAATTTCATTCAACATACATGTTGTGCATGAGACAATGAAAAGACTTTTTAAAAAAATGGTGTAACATATATGTATACATACTTTTTATTGTTATTATTAAAAATAATTGTAACATATAGAGGGATTGTAGTTTTACAATACTAATTTTATTTCATTTTTCATTTTTAAGAAAGGAGGTAGAGGGAAATTTATTATAATTTTTGTGCTATTATACCATCTAGAGAAGTTGTAGCTAATTGAAAATAAATAAGATCACAAATTAATTATGTAGTCATAACATGTAACTAGAAATACATACGAAGGATTCTTTTGTTCCAAATGTTGAGTAGTATGCTGAGGTTTGAGAAATGCAGAATTCAGCAAGAAAGTGCATGACCATGGGAAAGCTGATGAAAATCAAGTTCCCTGATTGGATGGCCAGGGGAGTAGATATATCGCCGACGTGGACTCTGGAAGGGTCGAGGTGGAGGACACGTTGGCAGAGTGAAAATGGAATTTGAGGGGAGGAAGGGTGGTGGTCCTGTGGAGGGGAGCCAGCGGGGGATGCAAGGGAACGGGAGGGGGAACGAGTTCCCGTGCCCTGTGGATAGCGTCAGCCTGCATGGCTACTTGGCTCTGGCTGGAGCTCAGCCCCGCTAGTAAGTGTGTGCTGCAGTCCCCTACCTCGTGTTTGCTCTTTGCTTCTCTTTCTCCTCCTCCTTAGTCCTTGGTCTCCACTTCTCGGTGGGTGCTCTGTGCAGTGGAGCTTCCATTCCTTTGACACTTCTCCACTTCCGCAGTGTCCCCGCAGCCATGGCTGGAACCATGTCCGCTCTGGCCAATTGTGGATTGATGCGCGCCCCCGTGCACCACAGCATCACCTCGTCCACAACCTGCGACACCACTGCCTCCGCCTCCACCCGCATCGCCCTCCCTCCCGTCCATTGCTCTCGTAAGCTCCTTTCTTTTGACTCGGATGTTAGGGTAGTTTTCAATTAGTATTGTACCTGATCGTGAAGCTATGGTTTTGATATGGTGATACAGCTTGATTGATAGGAAATTGATTCCTAAACCCTCCTGATTGTGCAATCTTCTTGCCCCTTGCACACTTTAGAATGTGTCGTTGTCTCGTTCCCGTGATCATTAGTAGTTGTGCAAAACCATTCTGGGTGACTGTCGCGAGCTTTGGAATTTCAAGAGAATTGTTTGAAAATCAATTGAGGAACGAGGTTTTGAATGACAGGTGTGTGTATCTTTTTACAAGAGAGAATATAGCCAGATAATTCATTAGTGGTTTCAACTAGGATGTCTGCTGCTCACGGGTAGCGCAACTAAGTGCTTGAAGAATCCCACTATGCTGCGAGAGGCCAAGTCATCCAAAATTTGTCGTAATCCTTGATGTGTGAGCCTTCGACTCTGGAATTTGTGTGCCAATTTCCCTAGGTGTGACTTTCTGCGCCTTTTCTCTGACTTTTATCTGCCTCGTAAATCATCCGTATTCTTTTTCTAAAGCAGTTTGAAATGTTTTTGTTGTGTCAGGGGAAGGTAGGGACTCGAAGGAGGTGGTGTCGACAGCTGAGGCATTTAAAAATGCCGCTTGCGGACTTCTTTTATCTTTCTCCTTAGCAACTGCATCACCATCGTTCGCTGCTCAAAATAGCCAGGTGCCTAAGTTTATTTATTTTTAATTTATACTCATTTATTTAAAATTTTAACTTATTTAATTAATTTTTAACTTTAAAATTTTTATGAGTGCTTCTGTTACTCTCAGATTATGATTGGTAGCTCATGGATTTTAAATTTGACCTTAACCTTAACATCTGTCATCAATATATTGTGCAATCTACAGAATCCCCATCCAGTCAAAGATCAATTCAATATATAGTAATACTCGTTTCTGTTCATGTTTGTGTGTGTCATCAAGCTCATGCTTGGGGCGGAGCGCATACACATGCACCACAGTTGGATGATAACTTCATGCGTTTTGAAACTGGTGTTGAACTAGTTTTGAAACCTGTGGCTATATTCCGTGCAGATGAGATTGCCACCACTGTCCACTGACCCGAATCGATGTGAAAGAGCCTTCACAGGGAATACCATTGGTCAAGCAAACGGTGTTGCCGACAAGGTTCTCGATCTCCGCATGTGCGATTTCTCCAATGATAAAACAAACTTAAAGGGCAAGACATTATCAGCCGCTCTCATGTCAGAAGCCAAATTCGATGGTGCTGACTTGACTGAAGTAATCATGTCGAAGGCATACGCAGTTGGAGCGAGCTTCAAGGGTAATTCACTATTTCAGTCATAACAGCAAAGTGAAAAGTTCCAGCGTATGGTTTGTTCATTCTCATGTCATCGTTCATCTCACCCTATTCTATATTTAGTATTCTTGGACCAATGGAATACAGCAATGACGATTCTATTGTGAGCCGCCATATTTCCCTTCTAATCTCCCGAGTACTGTGCAACCGGCAATCTGCAAGTTTTATAGTGGGACTTGTGCACTCTTACGCAGGTTCCGTTTTCACGAATGCAGTTGTCGACAGGGTTGCATTCGACAAATCAGACATGCAAGGTGTCCAGTTCATCAACACTGTACTCTCAGGATCGACCTTTGAAGGGGCTAACCTCGAGGGCGCATCGTTTGAAAATGCTCTAATTGGTTATGTAGATATCCAGAAGTTGTGTAAGAATCCCACGCTTCCGGAAGAAAGTAGAATCGATTTGGCATGCAAGCCTTGATTAATTTGTAGCTGTTTGAAGAGATGTTCTTGTGACTTACTGTCGACGTGGCAACATTTTCTGTAATTGTGTTCGCAATTTTGCGGCTAACTAAAAAAAACCTTGGACTTCGGTATGAGGGGTGTGCAACTAGTCCATATTGAATATAGTGGTAGGAGTTGCAGCGCTATATGAATCGGTGCTCAATCAGGACAGCTTCAAACAGAAAGTTCACAGTTGATGAAAAAAATGCCTGGTTATTGGACAGATTCTCAATCACACGATCAGTGCACTAGTCATACATACGCGTTCACAAAAAAAAAAAAAAAAAAAAAAAAAATGCGACAACGTTCAATTAACAGGAAAATTTGCCTGTACAAAAGTTGGACTCGCAAGTTCAGTAAAATCTTCGGCAGTGCGTTAACTGAAAACAATACGAACAAAAGAACTGTATTCCATATCAAAGCTGTAGCTTTGAGCGGCCTGTTTCCAGTTTAGACCTCAGACGAACCAAGAAGATTCGTCAAATACGATATGTTCAACTATTCAGCCAATTGTCGGACACTTCACAACCTTACGCTCATCGTCTACAAAGAGCCTCACGCGGTTCTCGTTGTAGTCCATAGTCACCATCATGTCTGTAGGAACAATCCTCACATTAAGATAGGGTCTCTCTGACAAAATGTGAGTCTTCGCTTCCTCAGCATCTCGTCCCACGAGATCGGGCCAGCGCCCATCTGTACTCAACAACTGCAAGCAATGAGGAATTGTACTGGAAAAACCAGCGAGTATAACGAATGACGACCTGCGAAAACATCCCAATATATCTGCAGTTCAACCAACGCCGACAAGCCCTTTCGACGTTCTTTCATGGAACATGATTTGGCGAAGTATTATCAGCTCCCAGGTTTCCGAAAGCAAACTTTCGAACGTCACTAAGTGAAATTTTTGATGGCTTCGTAAAGTTATAACCACTCAAATGAGGTCACCGAACATCAAACTCAAATTTAAATTTAAATTTGAAGAAAAACCGAACTATGAAAAAATGAAAGGGTTCATTCAAGAGGTACTGACCAAGGGCTGAGTGGATGCCAATTCGGCCATGGTTGGCATTTCCTCCCGATAAAGACGCCATTAACACAACCACCACGATCAAACAAGCAACTGTACGCATGTTGTCTGTATAATCCCAGATATTACAAAGAACATCAGAAAGAAGGATTCAAACATGAATAGGCAAACCACCCTCACGATTGTAAAAACTATGCATGCGCACTTGGGAATTATAAATCAAAACTCATTCCCGAATCCTCCATTATTCTAGGGTTTTAAAATCCAAATCACAGGAATCCTCGCAACACTCACAACACAGCACATAAAACCTCACAGGCGAAAATAAACCACCAGATACTCAATTAAAGACGACAACGAACCTCAAAAACCAAATTCCAAACCGCGAGACCAAAATCCTGATGTCATAGGGAGCTACCCCTAGTGTGGAACCAAGAGGAGCGTATCTCACCAGAATCGCACTCGGCGAAACCCAACCAGCAGAAGGGGAATTCGGAAGAATCGCACTCGGCAAAGGAAAGACTCAGAAGAAGAAAGAAGTAGACGAGAAGAAAACGGAGTAGGAGATCTCACGGCAAAGCTCGCAATGGGACGGTGCAGGAGGGGAAGCAAGAAGAGCAAGCATCCCCCACTTGCCTGGTCCAGCAAGCACCTGAGGCGCCGAAGCTCCCGGCGCACCCTTCGCCTCGTCTCCACCTCCACCTCCACCTCCACGGTTTCACTGCTCTTGCACCCCCTTGCCCGTGCATGGTGCCTGTTCCGACTCTGTCAACCGACTCTATGACCGCTCTTTTCTTCAACGACGTTTTCCTCCTTTCTACACATTTTATGTATACGCATGTGTGTATATATTATTATTGAGCTTCTTGCTTTACTTGGGTAGTAATATGTTATAACAAGTCAGTTATTGAGGTGTAATAAAGAGGAATACAGTTTGCATAAACACATAAATGGATGAACAAAAATAGACATCCCTTTCTCAATTGTTTACATTCTACATGTATGTATGTATGTACGTATGTACTAGAAAAAACCTATGCCGTTGTGTACAGCAACAATCTCTAGCATTGCCATCCATCTACTCCCTCGTTCATTCATGTTCCCTTGTTTTCATATTCCCTTGTTTAGCCAATGAGAAGCCTGCTTTGACTCTTTGTTTTATATCCAAGTTTTTTTATACAATAGATATAATAGTTTATTTTTTCTATTATTACTTGGAATGATCTAAATCTATGTAGTTTAATCAATGATTAACTAAAATTTTAATTCTTTTTGATAGATTTTTTTTCTATAATTCTTTATTTTTTTATGTAATAAAATAATAATTATAAAATTATATATATATATATATATATATATATATAATTTATGATTTTATTCTATCATCAAAATAATAATGAATTTTTAATTTATTTTTATGTTAAAATTATAACATTAGGATATCCTTTTAATTTAAAATATAATTAAATTACTATGTAAATACGAAAAGAAACCTATTTAATAAGTTAAATGAAACTACTATACATTCCATTTTTTTATTCTACTTTATTTTTATTTAGATATTAATCTATTTTTATATATTTTCTTCTAAAATTTTTAATAAAAAAATATTAAAATTTTTTATTTTTTAAATATGTTTTATGATGTTATATTTTATTAATTCTCAAACATAAACATGGAGTGTGTTGTACATAAGGTTGGGATGTAAAAACAGTCCAAGTATGAATAAGAAAACTCCCTGAAAGTAGTTGTTTTGTTTAGCATGAATTTGTAGTGTAAACAAGGTCTAATGACATCAACAAAGCCCTTTGCAAAGAACTTTGTCTATCATGTGGTTCATATTTTTGGAGATGTGATATAATTGATTTTAAATGGTACTAACAACCTTAGTCAATCAAGAATTTTTATAGACATATATAAAAATAATATTATATAATTAGATCAATACATATAGATATCATTAATATAAACAATTTTATTTTTAACTATCTAAAGCAAGTTAACCACCTTCTCTTATTAACATATAAGCAGTTCACCAACTTATCTATTCATACTAAGTATTTTTAATTTTTTTTCTAATCTTTTTTATTTTAAGTTTGTATATTTATTTTTATTTTTTTTAACACTAAGTCTATTTTTTTTAATTATTTTTAAATTAAGTCTTTTTTTTTAAAAAAATCTATTTATACTACATCTTTATTATTTTTTTATAAAGAATATAGATTTAAAAATTATTTTTAAAAATTTTAAATTATTGATTAAGAACTAAAAGATAAGATTTTTAGAGAATAATCTTAGATTAACAATTATAAGTCTTGATATTTATATTACTTATCTTTGGACAAAATCACAAGTTTTTAGGAGATCATCAATAAAATTCATAAAGATCACAAAGTTCCAACTCAATGTTGCCTTCTAATATTAATACTACATTAATTCTTAAAGTTCTATACTTATACTAATATCTAAATTTTTATTTGATTTACATGTTAGATCTCCATATCATATTTCTATTTTGACCTCCATGTCTTAAAAATTTGTCCTATGAAGCATCTAACTTAATAGTTTTGTAATAACATGAGTTGGCTAATAATCCTACTTTGTAATCTCTTAATCTTTTGTATTGGAGGTTTTGGACTCATCAAGGATGAGACTTTTTATCCAAGGTATGCCACTAAGCCAATTCTATTATGTTGATATTATTGCAAGCATCATGAATTTGTCATCCAAATGAAAAGAAAAAGCTTGTACATATTCTATCGTTTTTTTGCATTTGATACCACCTCTTTTTGCTCTTCAATGTCTAGCTTCTCTTTTAAGTTGAGATTTTTTTTTTTTTTTTTTTTTTTTTTTTTTTTTTTTAACAATAATAATAAGCATTCCTTTGATTTTTTTTATTTTTTTTGTTTATTATATATATATATTTAATTTGAAAATAAAAAAGATAAACTTTGCTACTTTTTTCATTAATTCTTTGATAGTCTCTTGTGCTTTTGTTATCTAATCCATGTTAAAGTAAATGGAAGATAAGTTAGAAGATAAAAGATATTATCTTAGATAAGTTGCTAATAGTCAAAAGACAGCAAAAAGATGAAGCAAAGTTACCAAGGTGGTAGCTAGGATTTTACGTGGCAGCTAGGTTAAGAAGAATCTAAGGTTTAGTTGGATGAAAGTAAGATGAATACTAGCTAAAATGGATGTAACTTCTACCTTTAAGTAAAAGGTGTTGGAAGTGAAAGGTATCTCATTCCACACTTCTCTTGTGTCTAACCTTGCTGATTTCTACTTACTTGTGTCTTACTTATTATGTTTCTTCAATAGGTTATGGACCCACACACACTTTGTTCTGCTATTCAAGTAAGTTGAAATCATTTGCTGATTGTTGTTCTTGTGTGGAATAGATCTTATGGTGTTTGCTGATGTTAGAGATTGTATGATCTAATCTGGTGTTTTGACTTGTGGAGGTTCTGATTTAAGCCTTATAGATCTCTTACATCAGTTTGAAGGTTCTTAACTCCTAGGATTGAGTGATTAAGACCTTATACAAAGACCTTGATAGTGTCTTTGATTTTGTGGTGAGAAAGTGAGTTTTATGAGTGGAAGAACTAGATGGTGAGGTTGATTGGAGTTCACATACTTGTTAGAAGCTTCAAAAGTTGATTTGGGAGTATTTGGAGTGAAGAAACATTCATTTGTTTACAAGAGGGCATTCTGAGATTTTGCTAGTACAAAATTGTTTTAGTGATTTTAAGCACATAGAGATTTTTTTTCTTGATATTTTTTGATAGACCTCTTTTAAGACATGGCTTCAAGTGAGGGTGAAGGTTTGAGAGTGATTGAAAAGTTTAGACGTAACAATTTCTACCATTGGAAGGTCAAAATGGAGCTTTTGTTGGCATCTTTGGACTTTTGGGACATCGTAGATGAAAGTGAAGAGTCTCTAAGCACGCATGCTGATGCTAAAGAGAGGAAGGACTTCACAAGATGTGAAAAGAAGGCTTTTGGCATGATTTCTACTAATTTAGATGAAGCCAACTTTTCTCACATCATCTCTTGTAAAGGACCAACAGAAGCATGGAAGACTCTTTGCAACATATATGAGAGCAAGAACTTATTCAATATCATCTTCACAAGGAGGAAATTCTTCACTTGCAAGATGGAAGAAGGTGAAGACCTCATGGCTCATGTCAACAAGGTAAAGGCCCTTGCTAATTAACTTATTATTATTGATAAGCCTTTACAAGAGAGTGATATTTTCATGACCTTGCTTATGAGCCTTCTCGAGTCCTACAACTACCTCATTGTGGCATTGAAATCCATCAAAGTAAAAGAACTTATAATAGATTATGTGACGGCAAGACTTATCCACGAAGTGATCAAGAGAAAAGGAAAAGAGCTCCAAAGTGAGGATTCGGATCTCTTATTAAGGCAAGGCAAGGGGAATCATATCAATCAACGTGGTAATGTAAGAACTTGCTTCATTTGTAGAAAATCAGATCACTTTGCTCGAAATTGCTACAAGGCTAAGAAAAGAGATAGAGAAAGTGTAAACAATGCTCGTGATGAATATAGAGGTGATGATTATGCATTCATGGCAAGTGAAAGCACTTCTATGGCTACCATGTCCAAGTGGATCATTGATTCTAGTGCCACCAAGCACATGACTCCATACAAGTGTTCATTTGACACTTATGAAGAGATTTCAACAGTAATTATCCTCATGGGAGACAATGGCATAGTACAAGCTATTGGAATAGGCTCCATTGTTATAGAGATTGTTGTGAAAGGCCAAACCAAGAACATCAAATTAAAAGACGTCTTACATGTGTCAAAGATAAAGAAAAACCTCCTCTCGGTGAGTAAATTTGTTTCACATGGTTGTAAAGTACAATTTGATAAGAATGGGTGTTTTGTGAAGACATTAAATGGAGATTATATTGCAAAGGGCTTTAGAGATGGCAACCTCTACTTCATCAAGTGTAAGAAGGTGAATGGAGTTGAAGTGGCGGTATTTGTTGAATTTCTTCAAGATCAAGATAAGTTTGGCATTTGGCATCGACCCTTAGTCATTTGAATGTCAAGAGTATGAAGGAGCTCCAATCCATGGTAAGTGGCTTAGATCTTGGTCATATAAGCCACAATGCTATGACACTTGCTTGTGAAGATTGTATTCAAGGCAAACAACAAAGGACCTCATTACAAAGTGGAGTTGCAACACGTGCAACCAAGTTATTGGAGATTGTCCATTTTGATGTTTGTGGACCTATGAAGATGCCATCAATAGGAGGTGTAAGGTATTTTGTCACATTCATTGATGACTTTTCAAGGAAAATATGGATTTTCATCCTCAAAGCAAAGAGTGAGTGTTTCACAAGGTTTAAGGAGTTTAAGGCACTTGTAGAAAAGCAATGTGAATGCAAAATCAAGGTATTGCATACAAACAATGGAGGTGAGTATATGTCAAAGTAATTCAATGATTTCTTAAAGTTACATGGTATTGCAAGACAAACTTCTATTCCTTACATTCCACAACAAAATGAAATTACTGAAAGAGCAAATCGGACCATTATGGAGTTAGCAAGGAGTATGCTTCATGGACAACATCTTGGACATGAGTTTTGGGCAGAAGTAGTGGTGAATGCAGTATATATAAGAAATAGGTATCCTA